AACTTGCAATGCAAGTTGTAAGATAATCCACTTGAAGACAACTTAGGATGAGTTGGTGACAACCAAGCACGAGGTGGCGACAACCAAGCGCAAGTTGTAAAGTGGAAGGTTAAGGAGGTTTAAGTTTTCTATAAATAGAGAGGTATTCTCATTTGTAAATGGTATGGAGTAGAGGTTAGAAAGTGTAGAGAATATAAGAGTGAAGAGTGTTTATTCATTAGAGAGATTGTAAAGTTTTTCCTTTCATTTATATAAAGAAAGTTTCCCCAATCCTTACTTGTTTTCCATATATTACTTACTTCAAAATTCTCTTCTCAACGTGGGTATAATTTAGCCTCATTGGTTAAATTATTTGTGGGCGTAGAAAGGCTGACTTAACGTTTTCTCGTGAGGTGCGGGAATTGTAGAGCGTTAAGGCCGCACGGCTCTAGTTTGTTCGGGTGTAACGAAACTAGGCCCGTGACAACCGTCTCTCATCAACTTTATCACAGTAGCTCACATTTCAAGTTCGACCCGCATATAAATAATATGACTCGGACTTAGGGGACTGCATATTATTGCTAGCATACGCATCACATTACTGCTTTCAAGCATGAATGTCATATCATTGTTAGCATGTCATACATTATTTTCATCACATCCAGTACGTATGTCGTGTTATCATCATTTTCATTTTATTGTCAACATTATGTTACTTGCTTCACCATAGCACTACTGATACACTAAGCTGTGCGAGCACATGATTTACTATAATGCATGACAGACCCTCTACACATATCTTGAAGAAATATGATGTCACACCTTATAGTTATAAGCATTTGAAGGGGCAAATGAACCCCAAATTTATTTGGCATTTGTATTGTGGATATATTGTATTGTATTACATGATTGGTTTAGTCCATATTACAGAGGAGATACTGCCAAAATTTCGAAAAAATATATGCAGTATATCTTTCGAGGCAATTCGTGAGTCCTCACGTATTCTGACTCGCACACATTTTTTAAGGCAGTTCGTACGTCCTCACTTATTGGAGCGACTTATATTTCTCACGGTAATTCGTAAGTCCTCGCCTATTTGAGATCAATGCATATTTTTGAGGCAGTTCGTAAGTCCTCACTTATTGGAGCTACTCATCTTTCTGAGGCAATATGTAAGACCTCGTCTACTTGACAGTTTATATTTCAAGTCTAACCCGCATATAAATAATACAACTCGGACTTGGGGGACTACTGTTACGCCTATAAATTACCAGTTCATATTGGACCATTTTATTGGACTCGGACGAGCCCATCAGAATTGGGCCCCAAAGCCGAGGCTATGACGAGGTCAGTCGAGGCGCCACCAAGGCCCTAAAGAGTTTAGCCGAGGCACTCGCCGAAGTGCCTATTATTATGTTCATATGATCACCTCCTTATTGGGTCTGGATTTCGACCTACCAACTCGTTTGACCCATTTCACTTCCATTTCTCTATATATATGGATTCACTTACACAACTAAGGTATGTTCTACACTATCTAGCCAAACCCCAATCTCCATACTATTGTACTCTATATATCTATCTTTGTTCGGCCGTTGACTTAAGCGTCAGAGTGCGAACAGTCGCCGAACCTTTTTCTTGTCCGGTCGCCTTTGTTTATTGACGGGATGCTAATTGTGCAGGTTTCAAGGGAACAAGGCTAGGGAACCTGTTGGAACCATTTTTGGAGGTCAACAGTTCTGTTGTCAATTTCATTTGTACTATTCTTGGAGCCAACGTTGTTTATCCATACATCAAATACTTTTGAAAAATGAAAAAAATAAAAAGTTTGAAATTTTTTCAATTACTTGTACCCATATGTATCGGGGTCCATTTCGTCTTATATATTCGACAATTGAAAGACAATACATTTCCTCGATAACACATGTAAGGGTTGATTTTGCACAAAATGGTGAAAGAGCTTATATCTTTTTCTGTAGGTCAATAGGGGGCATAATGGTGATTATTGAAATATAATTTATTTGACTCCGGGGCCCACTATCAATCTCATAAAATCAACTCACATGATTTTTAACTTCTCAATTCAAAAATCAGGTTTAAAAGTACTTCATTCAAAAATAAGGTGATTATTCAACTTTTTAATATTAATAATAATATTACAAAATTAAATTAATCTACATAACCACCCCACCCAACCCAACCCAACCCAACCCAACCCAACCCAAATCCTAAATCATTTTCCTTTCTCCTCTCTCTTCCTCCCTTTCTATCATCTCCATTCTCTCTTTTCCCTCATTCCCTCTCTTTCTTCCCCCTTCTCTCTTCTCATTTTCCATCGGAAGCTACCGTAAGAGACCATCATCGGTGCACACGGCACAGCAACCCTCCCTACTACATATCGATGCTATGTGGTGTTGTTCGTGCAACGCTACGTGTATTTGAGTTTTGATTATTCTGTATACTGACTTGTGCGGTGTATGTGATATAAAGATAATTTTTGGGGGTGGCTTTAGATCTGATCTGATATGATCTAATGTTTGTAGGAGTTTTGGGGAGATTTTTGTTGTTGCTTTACAAATGGTGGTGGTGATTTATGCAAGTGGTGATGGTGAGGTAGTGGTGGTGATAGCAGTGGAGGCGATGGTGGTCATGAAAGGGTGGTGTGACAGTAGTGGTGGTGGTGTTGGAGATAGTGGTGAGGTGGTGTAGCGTTCGGTTAATGTCGGCGATAGATTTGGAGTGGGGCTAAATAGGATGAAGAGTATTTTTTACCAATATATTTGTGTGATTGTGATAAATAGATTAGTTAATTTGCAATTAATAAAATAATATGCAATCAATAAAGTAGATAAGTTGTGACCAATAAATCGTTACTCAAAATTTTTTAAGTTGTCATAAATTAATTTAATAATTTGGAACATATAAAATTTGTGATCTGTAATTGAAAATAATATGTGGCCTATTAATCTGATAATGTGTGATCAATAAATAAATTGTGACCTGTAAAATTTGTAATTTATGATCAAGAAATAACTGACCAATTAATTAGATATGTATTATTCCCTAAAATTAATTCTTTTTTACTAAGCTCATGTTTGATTTGTTATTTTCAGTTTTCAATTTTGCAAAATACTAAAATCCTTTTTAGTCTCGTGTTTCTAAAAAATGCAATTTCGAAAACATGAAATTTATAAAATTAAATTATTCAAAACACATTTTTGATATTTTTAAGTGTTTTCAATGAAAATTCCAAAAACACTCAAAATATAGGAAACAAGTGTATATATAAAATAAAATTTTAAAAAATAAGAATTTTAACTTTAAAAAATAATATAAAAATAAATGTTAATAATAAAAAAATAAAATTGGAAATGAAAAAAATAAAATCTAAATTCTTAAATGAAATAAATTAAAAATAAAAAATTATAAAAAAAATAAAAACAGTTCAAACTCTTAATGATTATTTACATAAAATTCTAAAAAATATATATTTAAATGAATAAACATAAAAATACTTTTACTCCAATTTATTGTTTATTTTATTTTTGTAGTGAAAAAAAAATATTACATGATTCACCAACTTTAAAGTATGTATATTACTTAATAATATATTAACATAAAATTGTTTTATTTTTTATTGAATTGTCAAATTTATGGAATGAAATGTCATAAAATATTTTTCAAAATTTCAAAAAAAAAAAGTGTTTTCTAGTTTTTTGGATAAATACATTTTAAGCGTCTGTTTGGCTCCCGTTATTCCATATTAATATGAGGAATAATAATTTTTTAGAGAATATGTGGTTAAATTTTTTTTTTTTAAGATTTACGCATAATATTATTTTATTAAAAAAATGTGTGATTTATATAAAAAAGAGATAAATGAATTATAATTTAATCACAATAATGGGGGTCAAACGGGGCTGAGTTTGAAGAAAAAAATGAATCTTTGAGAAACCAATACATTTACAAGCAATAAGGACATATCCATATCTTATTTGTGTTAAGGGATAAAATATCTTACATCAAAAAAAGACGTAAATATAGATTAATATATTTACGTTTTGAGCTACTCCTTTTAATAAGATTGATGTTTTAAGATAAAAATATAAATTTTTACATAGTATCAAAGTCCATATGTTACACCCCTAACCAAACCATTTCGGCACATCACGCTCACTCCTCAGCGAGGTGCCACGTGTCTCTCCGAAGTGGTTCTGAAGTGATATGAGCCTCGACCTAACTTTAAGTTCACATGCTAATCTCCAAGTGAGTTTTCCAAAGCATCCGAAGTGCCCCCATGTCGAATCATGGGGTACACTGAGGCGCTTCTTCTAACAGCTCTCAGCCGCTTGTTTCAGAGAGAGGGAGATCTTTGTCAGAATCCCTTTTATCTCAATGGATTAATTTACGTGACATTTCCGTGGATTGATTAATGTGACGTATCAACTTTATGTCAATTCAACTCAGAAAAATTAATTGCCCGCGCACTTTAGACGCGGTTGATTGACGCCTATGATCGGACACCTTAGACTGTCAGATGCATACACATGTCCCACATCCAAAAGTGCTTCTCGTCTATAAATATCAAATGTTTGGCAAGAGGTAATGGTAATGAAACACACACTAAACTTAGCTACCCACACACAAGTGTAGTTTTTCTCCTCCCCACTCTTACGCAATTCCGACACCGTTCCGATCACCGCCCACTGACTTGATCATCAAAGTGTATGCGACTGTCACCACCCCCGTTGATTCCAATCGTGTGCTTCTAACCACGTGTTATTATGTGCAACGAATAATTCGACCTGATTTAAAGTCTAAAAATGAGAACACAAATTTCAAGATTAATTTCCTCAAACGAGCTATCATATTGTGAGGACATATTAAGAGATAAAATATTAAATATCCCGTCAAATAAAGATATAAATATAAGTCAACTTTAAAGTATTCTATTACTTTTCTTACAAAATTGACTTTTTAACATGAACTCGAATCTATAGGTTTGAATACGTTGAAAGCATTACCGTTCTGACTCAAGAAAAAAAGTTACTTTGGGATAATTTTCTATCAAAAGTCACTTAGCATTCGTCTTTGGTTCCTTCTGCTCTCTCTAGATATGGAAGTTAAGGCAAAAGGAATATCAGTCTACGACAGGAATAGTGAATTAAGATTGTTTGATGATTCAAAGGTTGGTGTTAAGGGACTTGTGGATTCTGGGATATCGAAAATACCTCGTATTTTCGTTCACGATTATCAAGTTAAGAAGCTTGAGCAGAAGTCAAACTGTAAAAACTCTCAATTTAATGTTCCCATCGTTGACTTTGATCGAATTTATGAAGACAAAGCTCGGCGTTATGAAATCGTGGAGAGAATTCGAGATGCCTGTGAAAACTGGGGATTTTTTCAGGTAATTAATCATGACATTCCACTAAGTATTATGAATCAAATGATTGATGGGGTACGAGGATTTCATGAACAAAAATCTGAGATGAAGAAACAATACTATTCGCGAGATGTTACTAAAGGGTTTATATATAATAGCAATTTTGATCTTTACCAAGCCCCTGCAGCTAATTGGAGGGATACTATATCTTGTGTTATGGCTCCTAATCCACCAGACCACATAGATTTGCCTCCAATTTGCAGGTATATGCTTAACTTCTTTTGGGCTAATTTGTTGGACTTTGTAGAGCCTAGTTGTATTGTACAACTGGATATAAGTGCACGTATTCAGTCATACTATGGAAAGTAATTTAGAGGGTCGATTTGAGTGCACGAGAGACATAATACAATAAAACCTATGTAATCTATGCTTAGATATAGTGAAAATGGCAATTGGATCTTGGGTTCCAACTAAAAAGTTCAATTATTTGTTAAGAGGTATAACTCAATCCCCATACTATTGCTATTATTTTCATATTTTGCCGAATGTTTTATTCTTAAGATTCCTCCGCAGATGATTGCTCATTTGAGAATACCAATCTTGTAAATTGATAGCCTGTTTAGGCTTTTAGCCTGACTAGATTGCTTGTTTGAGGTCTTTGGATTCCATATTGAAAGGTCGACCTTTTGTTAAGATTGGATGATTGGTATTATTTCATACCCTTAACAAATGTGCCCTTTCCATTTCCGTGAACCACAATAGATTGCTTTGCTTGTTTTCAAATTTTATTCCATTTGTTAAGATGGAAAAATCTCTCCATTTAAACATTTAATTGTATCTCTTTATAACTTTTGTGTTGATGCAGGTCTTTTTGCTTGGGAAAGGCCTAGCATTGTAGCATAATTAGTTATTTTTCACAGTTCCATCCATTGACAGATTCCCTTCTCATTGTGCATTAATTATGAGAATTTTTACTACTGTCACTTGTATTATGTTTTAATTGCAGAGATATATATTTTGAATATTCAACCTACATGATGAAATTCGGGCATACTCTTTTCGAGTTGCTTTCTGAAGCTCTTGGTCTTGATTCATCACACCTGGAAAACATGGGTTGTACCGAAGGACTTTTCGTCTTAGGTCATTACTATCCGGCATGCCCTGAACCCGAGTTGACTTATGGCACTAGCAACCATTCTGATAGTGGCTTCCTTACCGTTCTTATACAAGATCATGTTGGTGGACTTCAAATCCTTCATGAGAATAAATGGATTGATGTTCCCCCAACAAATGGATCTCTAGTTGTAAACATTGCTGATCTTTTGCAGGCAAGACAATAGAAACCGTTTGTCATTTTGCTTACATATTTTGAGGTTATTCAAACAGACAACTAAATGTTATTCTATCTCAGCTTATTACCAATGACAAGTTCACAAGTGTGAATCATAGAGTACTGGCCAAGAAGATAGGTCCAAGAATGTCAGTGGCATCTTTCTTCAGAACACATTTTAGAGAAGGGGCTGCATCAAAAGTTTACGGACCGATAAAAGAACTTTTGTCTGAAGAAAACCCCCAAATTTACCAGGAGATAACCACAAGGGACTACCTCACACATTACTACAATAAAGGGCTTGATGGTACTTCTGCACTGTCTCGTTTTAAAATCCATTAATAAGACTTGGTGATTTGAACAATCATTTAGATTTTCTGGTTGTATATGCTTTAAGCTTTCTGTGTTCTGTTGAAGACACTATCGTCATTATTATATAAATGAAAACAAAGTTTTCTCGTTTTTGTTATTGTCTTCCTTTTACTGTCATTAATGTTGATTTTTCAGTGAGAGCTGCTTCATTGTTATTTTAGAAAATATTTATTATCATCTTGTTGTCTAATACTGTATTCAACGTTTATAGAAATCAAACTTCTTCTGCATATTAGATACTTTGTACATCCAATTCAATCATATCACGAGGTTCATCTCAGAAGTGGGAAGAATTTAAGGTGGTCACGGGCAGTTGAAAAGTTGTAACTCTTGAAGATGATCGTATAGATGACCTGAAAGCTTTTGATGATACGAAAGCTGGCATGAAGGGGCTTTTAGATTCCGAGATTGTGAAAATTCCATGTATATTTAAGAGCAAGCTTAATCAGTTCCCAGAATCCTGCAATTCTCCTCTAAATGTTCTGATTATAGACTTTGCAGGCATCGACACGAATGATTCCAGGCACTCTGAGATTATCGAAAAAATTAGAGATGCTAGAGAGATTTGGGGATTTTTTCAGATACGAGTTCTGTTATCTATGAAGTCATGGATGCCTTAAGCAGATTTCATGAAAAGGATATTGAAGTGAAGAAACAGTATTATTCAAGGTATTTTCAAGAAAGTTCACATACAACAGTAATATTGATCTATACCAAGGTCCAGCAGCTTAATGGAGAGAGACTCTTGAATGCAATTTGGCTCCTCATCCACCTGACCCCAAAGGATTGCCTACTGTCTGCAGGTATTCACCTTTTTCATGAATTAGCCTATGTTTAACTCAGGTTTATAAACTATTTATAAACACGCAAATCAAATTTTATCCATACATTTCGAGGGACCCACGAGTACAACTACCTTATCGATTGCTCATTTTTTATCTATTTATAATTCCATGCTTGAATTAAGCAAAATGCTACAGAAAAGAGACACGAGTCGTTCTTGTTGAACCACCTCATCTAAAAGCTTAAAATTTTAGAGAGAAGATAAATTAACTTATTTACATTATGTTTCAACAATTCTTCAAGCTCCTACTCTAACTTTTAGTTTGCAACTTTGTGTTCAATGTGCAAATTGCTTAAAAGTATCATCTTTTGCTTTTCATGTTCATTTTCTTAAATTTTGTGAAAATATCGATGTCTAAAGTAATTAATATACTCAGTTGAGCTTCTACCAATAATCGTGTACTAGTACGAGAGTATATAAAATCGTCGTGAGATGAACCTCATAATCGTACAATTCAATATGAGGCAACAAAACATTTCTTAATACAAAGTCTTCTGACTAAGCTTTCCACCTACTGTATTTTGGAGATTTTTGATTTATCTTCTTTACTACTCTTGAATCACCTTGTCTAAAAGTTTAAGCTGATAGGTTTGTGTTGACACATAAAAATTCAGCCTAAATCGAACGGCCCAAGGAATGAAGCACAATTGGAGGATCCCCAAATCAGATAGCCCAAAGAACGAAGCCCAATCAGACAATTCAGGATGAAGGCCCAAATAGGGAGGCCCATAAACGCGGTAACACCATCGCCCAAGCTTGCAAGTCGCCCAGAATCTGAGCGAATGGAATGTCATGCAGTCGCCCAGAGCTGCTACTCTATTCTTGCCCAAACCTTCGAGTCGCTCAAGGTCTTAGGTAACATGAAGTGTTATGGTTCTCAAGAAGCGCAGTTCTCAAAGCGGTTGTTAAGCAGCCCTATAACGTTCCATGATTCAAAGAATTTAATTGAAGACGGTTGAACGACAAAAAGTAATGGCAGCAGTTAGAAAATGCAGTTCCATGACAAGTCGGTCATTACGAGAAAAGTGGGCAGTTATAGAATGATCAAGCAGTTTTTAGGCGGTTGATCACAAAGAGATCATCCAAGGAGTATAAAAGGAAGAAAAGACATAGAGCAAAGACCCCGGATAAAAAACTCTCGAACAGAGAATATGTAATTTTAAATTTCTTAGTTTAGATTTAAACACTTCTTTCAGTAACTCGTGTGCTTGCGCCCCTTTGAGGCATTCTGTTTTTACTTTCCGATTGTAAAATCATCGCCAATAAAGAACACCCCTTTTTGGGACTTTGTCTCAAGAGGTTTGTCTCTTACACAATCGTCTGATCCCTTTTTAATTGTTAGCGATGAACCCGCGCGAAACAATTTGGCACACCTGATGGGACGGTGGTGTTTGGTGTTGAAAATACAAAAGGTGAAACAATATGCCTCATAGATTCGATAAGAAAGCATCAAGTCAGGGAGGAGTCCAGTCTGTGATCGAGCGATATGAGGAGTAGCATGCCTCTCCATGAACAGATGGACAGAATCAGAGCAGTAACAGTCGTTATGAACCAATGACAGAGTTGAGTCCTCGAATTATGCGTGCACTACTTGGAGAACTCACACAAGATGTCGTTGAACAGGTAAATCTTCGAAATATTCATAATATGGAAAGAT